CTGCTAACCAGAAGGCTGGCGGTTCAAACCCACCAGCCACTCCTTGGACGGAAGATGGGACAATCCACTTCTGTAGTGATACTGCCTCAGAAACCCAAGGAGTGGTCGCTATGAGTCGGGTCCGACTTGATGGCACATAACAACAACAACATAAAAACATTAACAATAGCAAAACCAAAAGCTTGCTTGTATGGCATATAGATGAAACCACGTGATTCAAACATTATTGTAATTGTAATGACAACTCTGACCAGCACACATTAGAAGGTTCAGAATAATTTAACATAGAGTTTTAGCCTTGCATGTATATTGACACATGTAAGCTGGGCTTAATGAAAAATATTTTTGTTGTTGTAACTTACTATAAGGATATTTTTATAAAAATAGTAAATTTCTTTGGAAATACTGCACAAAAGTTTTATAGACAGTCATTTTGGTGTCACTCTGTCTGACAGTGCCATCCAGTGAATTCCGTACCCCTGTCCTGAAGGTGGACCAAATGTGGGTCCCTGACTGGTGTATGATCAGTCAAACTAGTTTACACTAGTTTAAGAGGAGAGAAAATTATTTGTTGCAAAGTGGCAATGCAAGGAGATAGGGGTCAGTTCCCAAATCTGACTCCAAAAGTGGAGGTTGGGATACAGTTTTTGTGAAGTTCAGGAGAGGGGCTTATTTATAGTGCTAAATTTCAGGAATTTGGGCATAAATTAACTGGGGATTGGCTGAGGCTTCCTTCAACTCAGTTTGAAGGGATAGTCAATATCTAATTCGGTGTGCTTGCACACCAGATGAGTCACACCGACTTCCTGCCATCAGCTGATCAGGACTTAGGCAGAGGGGAAGATGTCAGTTCTGGGCAACTTTGGTCCTGTTTGCCTCACTGTGCTTGTGTGCAGGCCAAAGTTGATTTCAAGTTGTTTTCTGAAAAACCAACTTTAAGGAAATGCATTAGCGTACACATTCACCTTTTTCCAACCAGGGTGGGGGATAATGATGGAGAGGATATATGAATTGAACCTTAATTCAGTTCAGCTCCCAAGGAACCAAACAATCATGCCTGCCCATCTGCCCCAACTAAGGCCTTAGACAGGATGGGGGACTGAGCTTTGATTCTATTCGGCTTCAGTACTTCTCTAGAAGGAGCTTGGGTGGCACAGTGCCTAAAGCATTTATTTGCCTGCTAACCAGAAGGTTGGTGGTGCAAACCCACCAGCTGCTCTGATGAATAAAGATAGGGCAATCTACTTCTGTAAAGATCCACCTTCTTGGAAACCCAAAGGGAGTCACTATGTGTCAGAATCAACTTGATGGCAGTGAGTTTGTTTTTTTTTTTTTTTTTTTGATACTTCTCTAGTGACCTGTTGTTTAGATCCCCAGTGCTGGTCAATGAGTCTACCTTCCCTGAGAAATTGTTGTCCTCCTGCTCCTAGAGTAGTATCTAAGTTCTGTTAGCCTTGAAGAAAATCGTGGGGACATTATACAGAAAAAATTTAAATTGTGAATTTTCAAGAATCAAATAATTATTAAGGTAATACAAGAATATTTAGAAGTTTAAGTAGGTAGAGTGCAGGGCAAAGTACTAGAAAAATGATACATTAGTAAGACTAAATTGCCTAACCCTTAAGTCAAAATATGAATTTATTTTTATCCAAACATAGCTGCAGTTTACCTTTTACTACCCTACTGAGAAAAGCATTACATAGTAAATTAGAACTTAGAAAATTCTTTAAATGTATTCACCAATGCTTTGGAAAGAAAAGCTTTTAAAATTGGTTAGAGATCCTTTTATTGGATACAATTTGCTTTATGTCATAAAATTAGAAAATAGGTTAAAGTTATCACTATAGGAAATTACTTTTAAAAAGGTGTTGACTTAGTATGTCTACATAAATTGAAAGTAAAGTGATTGAAATAATTTCCTGCCAGCAATTTATTTTCTAGGATTTTTTTAAGTAAATGATAAATATTATAAATATTAGCAAAACAAAACAAAACAGAAAAAAAAAAAAAAAACACTGTTTTTCCTTCTGTTTGTTGTTTTGGGTTTCTCATTAAGGAAAGCACATTATGTAATCATTTGAACTGCAACCATATATCAGATTATTGGCTTTAAAAAAACATGATCATAATCAGCATTCAAATGGGAAAACTAATAATATAAATATGGTTCTCACTTATATGAAACAATTGTTTAAAATGCACATATTAATAACTTATAAGTTGAGTTTCTAAATAGCTATGTGGCTTACAATTTGCACAGGTGCTGAGTGTATATAACATATAAATGGGCGAATTGGATGAACTCAAAAAATGACTATTTGAGTAACTGGAAATAAGTATTTCCAGTTAATCAAGTGACAACTTAGAACATTAGATATTTTGTAGTATGAGTTTTAAATCTGACATCTATACTCTTAGACTCCTTTTTTTTTGGACAAGTTTTAGACTAATATATTAGTCTGAAAATATTTCTTTTAATTTTAATTTATTACAGGCAGTAAGCACAGACCCTGTCCCTGTTAAATTGCACTATGATAAATCACATGACCAAGTGTGGGTGCTAAGCTGGGGTACCGTGGAAAAGACTTCACCAACATTACAGGTATGTAAGTTCAAGTGCATATGGGAAAACAAAGACTTTTAAACCATTGTAAATCTCATTGGATATATATGACTATTTAAAGGTGATGATGTTTTAAAAGAAGAGGGTGGGATGGACATGTAGGATACCACCACAATATCTAGAATTTAGCCTCAAAATTAATTTTCTTCTTTTCCCTAATAGATACTATTTTGTTTTCTGATCACTTCCTCATTCGTAACTGTTATCTGTGTTGTTATTTTGTGGAATTTTCTTCTACTTTGAAGTTGATTATGTGAGAACTTGGTAGGTAAAGAAAAAAAATGTATAGATTTTAACAATGACTCTTCACCAGAGTCAAAATTTTTGGAGTTACACATTAGAAAGTAATCAGAAAGGAAACAGGAAGAAAAATTTGCCCCTATAAATATAATTCATACTATTGCTCCAACAGCTTTGTGATTTTATTACTGCCTTGCCTATAATTCTTCTTAACCAAACTCACTGTCATCAAGTCAATTCCAATTCATACTGAACCCCTTTGGGTTCCAAGGTCTTAAGTATTTATGGAAGTAGATTGCCCAGTCTTCCTTCTGTGGAATGGCTGGTGGGTTTGAACCTCCACCCTTTTGGTTAACAGCCAAATGTCTTAGGCACTAAGCCTTCAGAGCTCCTTGATTCTGCTTACCAAATTCTAAATCATTAACCTCTAGTCACTTTTCAATAGTTTGTTGAATGCACTCTGTACTGTTTTAAAATCAGTTTTTAATATCTATACTTTTAATGATTCTGAGCTAATTTCTGTATTAACATGTATCTTACAAGTGACAAATCTATTGAAATTAAATATTTTAAAAGAACTATTAGAATGATGGCTCATTTTGTGTTTTACTTTAAATGTTTGTCATTTGAGATATTTAAAATATAGCATGTATTTAAATTATTTATTGTTGCAAATATAACCACTTCAAAACTGGATGTTCTAAGAATTGAAGTGACTTCTTGCTTGGGAGCTCTGTTGACATAGTGCCCAAGGCATTTGACTGCTAAACAGTAGTCTGGCTGTTCAAACCCATCAGCCACTCCTCAGAAAGAAGACTGGGCAATATACTTCTGTAGAGATACCACCTCAGAAACCCAAGGAGGGATTGCTATGAGTCGAAGTGACTCAAAGGCAATGAGTTTGGTTTTTGTTTTATATTATGGTTCATGAGTCTGTGGCTTGATAATCTGGGTTTTCTGTCAGTCTATCAGAGCTTCCCAGTTTCATCTAGATTCACTCATTTGACAGCGATCATAATATAGCTGGAACCGGAGAATCACAAATGGGCTCTCTCTCATGTCTGACAAAAGGTGACAGTGCTTATTTCAGTGCCTTTGGTTTCCTACAAGTGATTGCTCATAATCTAGGCTGACATGTCCACAGCATGGTGGTTTCAGGTTCCCACAGGTTGAGTGGAAGCTGCAAGATTGATTAAGTTTTCTGGTATAGGAATCAAACAAGGTCAATTCTGCCACAACCTATACAACAAAGCAGGTCATATTTACATACCCAGATTCAAGAAGGTGGAATAATATAGTCAATATCTTGAGAGAAGCAAAATCTTCACATAGCAAGCAATTTTTATAATGGTCTAGACAATATAAGTGGATCTGGTTATTTGATAGTTTGCATATAAATTATAATCTTGGCAAGGTAAGTAAAATAGTTGAATATTACAAATTTGTAAAACTTTTTTTTTATTATTTTATTCCTATGAATTAGTTAATATTAACTTAAAAATATGTTGGCTTATAAAGATTTTAAAAAACAAACATTTTAAAGTTGTCTCTATTTTTGGTATAGCAAATTCTTTATTGTAGATTCCATCCCAAAATTCTCCCCACCCTGTGGTACATGCTATTTGGAGATTAATACCAGATAAAATTCAATTTACTATTCAAAAAACATGTTAGTGCACAAATTCTCAGCTAAAGTCTTCACGGGGTGATGTGGTGAGAGCTTAATATTACCCTGCTTGTAAAGCATGTTTGCACTAGAGGGGAGAGAACTTGATGTCATAATCCCTAAATTTATACAGGTTGCTGCCATGTAGGGCAATCCTGCCTTCTGGCAAGAAAAAGAAGTTTTTAAAAATCATCTCCAGGGAGTTATTCTGAAATTCAGTGTTTCTGTCAGGAACTATTTAGAAATGTAAACAAACAGCAGTGTAGGAGCGATTTCTCAATCTGTCAGAAGCATTACAACATCTTTATCTTTCAAGGAATGTTGGCTATATCATTATCCTTTAACAAAGATTGCCAGTGCCTTTTGTTCAGAAAGTCCAGATTGTGTAGAAATGTAAAAATATTCATGGATTATCATCATCCAAGAGAATTATCAGGAAATAGCTCAGAAAAGTAATGGAGTTTAACATGTGTTTGGAAATGGCTCCAGATAGATGGGGTGACAGTGACAGTGGTTGCAATGGGTCCTTGGAAGCCATTACACATGGAGAAATCAGCATTAGGGTTCTATTAGTGATGAACCAAGTCCTTTTATAAGATCAGATTAATGACTAATAGATAAATCAGATCATCCTGTGTGTTTTACAGTCAATCAACTCTGATCTGACCCTGGAAATTCTATATAATATATTCAATTCCAGAGACAGAGGAAAAACTAGAATCATCAGGAAACAGGTATATACTGAAGAAAGCTAGAGAAGAGGCACTGTATTTTTCTCTGACCTATACGGTGCTAAGGAGCTCTGGTGGCATAGTGCCTAAGGCATTTGACTTCTATCCAGAAGGCTGAATATTCAAACCCCACAGCCTCTCCTCGGAAGGAAGATTGGGAAATCTATTTCTGTAGTGATACCACCTTGGAAACCCAAGGAGGGGTCACTATGAGTCAGATCCTGCTGGACAGCAGTGAGTTTGGTTTGGTTTTGGATACTATGCCAAAGCACAGAAGAGATATTCAGTAAATATTCCTTGAGTTAAATGAAATATTTTGCATAAATGTCATTGCTAATTTACTTCACTATTTATAATGGTGGCCTCATTGTCAGTAAAACCTACTGCTATCAAATTGATTTGACTCATAGTGATCCTTAGGGAGAGTAGAACTGCCCTATAGGGTTTCAAGGCTGTAAATCCTTATTCAAGCAGACTGCCTCATCTTTCTCCCCCAGAGAGGCTGGTGGGGTCTAACTGCTGACCTTATGGCAGTTTATCACTGTGCCAGCAGAGGTCCTTTTCATTATTAATAAGGGAATTATAATGCCTCTATTATAGTGTTATTTGAGTGTTAAACAGAACAATGTTTGCAAATGACTTAGAATACCTAATGGCACATAAGCTCTTAGTAAATATTTTTATTGCCACCATATAGTTATTATTATTAATTTCACATACATGTAAATATATTTTGAGAGTATACACATTTATACTATAAAAGGTCCCGGAGTAATACGAAAGAGCCCTAGTGGTGCAGTGGTTAAAGCGCTTAGCTCCTAAACAAAAGATTGGTAGTTTGAATCCCCCAGTCACTCCACAAGAGAAAGATATGACAATCTGTTTCCATAAAGATTTGTAGACTTGGAAACCCTATGGGACAGTTCTAGTCTGTCGTATAAGGTCACTATGTGTTGGAATCAAATCAATGGGATTTTCTTATTTGGGTTTCAGTGGTACTGTTTGCACTCAGCCCCTAACTGAAAGGATAGCTGTTTGAACTCACACTCTCCTTATGGAAGAAAGACCTGGGATCTTCTTCCATAAAGATTTTTGCAAGGTGTAATCAATTCAGTTCCAACACAGAGCAACTCTGTAAAACAGAACAAAACACTGCCTGGTCCAGTGTTATCCTCACATTAGTTACTATATTTGCACCCTCTTTTACAGGTACTGTATCAAACTGTCTTGTTGAAGATCTTCCTTTTTTTACTGACCCTCTCCTTTACCAAGCACATGTTACTTCTCAGGGACTGTTCCATCCTGGTAACATTTCCAAAGTATATGAGACAAAGTCTCACAATTCTCACTTCTAAGGAGAATTCTGGGTGCAGTTCTTCCAAGATTTATTGGTTTGTCCCTCTGGCAGACCATAAAACCAAAAAAAAAAAACAAAAAACAAAAAAACAAAAACTCACTGCCATCAAGTCTGATCAGACTCATAGGACCCCTCCTTGGGTATCTGAGGCAGTATCACTACAGAAATACATTGCTCAGACTCCATGGTATATCCAGTATTCTTCACCAAGACCATTACTCAAAAATCAGCAATTCTTCAGTCTTCTTTATTAATTCTCCAGATTTCATATGTGTATGAGTCAATTGAAAATATGATGACTTGGGTCAGATTCACTTTAGTACTCCAAAATCTTTGCTCTTTAACATCTGTAAAGCTAGTAGCCAAGAAAATCCTACAAGGCTCATTTGCACTTTTTAATACATGGGCTTTCCTTAGGTCAAAACCCATTCAATGGCAGGTAACAGCAGAAACACAGAATACAAAGAAAAGAAAATGTGGAGATAGTTCCGAGAAGATGGTTGAATAGGCAGACAAGCTACACAGAACCTCTGTAACAAAGCAATGAGAAAGCAATTGAAACTAATGTGGAAGATGATCCTGGAATCCTAAGCTTTAAAGGGAAGAATAAAGAAGTAGAGTAAGTGCCAGCTAGTAGAAGATTCTGAATGAAACAATGATTGATGAGACAAATGAGGTAGCAGACTGCTGCTTGTCCTGGGGGCACAGCTATTTTGAATACTTCCTGACAGCAACGTGAGAATTGGTTCTGCTCACCTAAGACTGCATGGGCAAGGATTGCATTAGTGTATGATAAACAGAAAGGAAAACAGTGGTGAAGGTTACAGACTTGAAGATTGATGGTGGGTGTATTGTTAGTGCAGCAGTTTTGAAATTTTGTGGGCAGTGGATCCAGCAGTTTTAGTTGTATACAAGTGGCATTCTTAACTGTACAGCAGCATAGGTACCAACTGGTGGCTGACAACTGAAAATGTGTGATATTCCC